CATCCCTCGAGCATGAAGCATCCTCTTACTCCATCTCTTCTTCCTGCACTCCAGTAGCATTTTTGCAGGATAACACTGTTCTTTTGAAGCTGTGGCTTTGCTGCAAGTAGACTTGACTGGGTTTGGAGTTAAGGGCAGAAATCACAGCCCAGTGCTGTTGTCAGCGAAAGTACCAGTGGGGGGGGGCACTAGGTCCCTAGCTCCATCTGATTGTGTTTTCAGTGGAGAGGACAGCGCAGACATACATACTCAAATGTCCAGTAAGCAAATCCTGGGAACAATAGGGACTGTATCGTTTCTATGCATGCTTGACTAGCTAGGAAGAACAATGTGGGGGGGCAGAGAGAGGGGAAGAGGAAAGGACATGGTAGGAAGGAGTCTTCATGGCTGACTTCAGAAGGCCTTAATGGTGTTTTCTCCCCCTCAGACCAGCAGAGTGTAGAGATACTCCCAAGGGGTCCTAGCTTCTATTCAACATTTGTGCTCAGTCATTGGTTGTCCACTAAGCTACACACAGAGATGGGTGATCTCTAGCAATCCAGGCTGAGGAACTAGAACAGTGAACAGAGACAAGGTAATGCACACCAAGGAACAGTCAGGGCTACAGAGCTGTACTAGAACCAGAGAAAGTATAACAGAGGGATGAAAAACTAAATTCAGAGTTGCCAACACAATATTGTCTAAAAGACACAGCTTTCAACAATAATTTTATGAGAAACACAAAGAAGTTGACCCCATACTGAGGAGAAAACACATACAGTGGAAGCCGCCTTAGATAGAGGCCCAGATGATAGATTCAGCTGGTAAATATTTCATAGTAGCTATTATGGATATGTTCAAAGATTAGAATAAAACCATATTAGAGAATTAAGAGGAATTATGATGACAGAGTTAACAAATATATGGTCTCATTAGAGAAATAAAACTATTTTTCAAGGACCTTAGAGACAGTTCTTGGCACACCTCCCTTCTATCACTGATGTAAGCAAATTCGTGTTTTCCTGTACAAATACACTTGTCTCAGTTTCCTCTACTCCATGGGTCTGGAGTAGAGCTGCTACCATGTCCTCTTAGGAGTTCTTACCATGACTCTTCGGGCAGGGTCACATTCAGTGATCAATGGCCACTTATGAATAAAAGTGACTTCATGGGAAGGAAGAATGACATTAGGAAATGAAAGCCATACCCATGATGATTTTATTGGTAAGTCAGGAACAAAAAGGGTAACTATTTTTGTTTATCCCAGGAATGTGATTTTTGTCATTTGTTGTCTTTGTTTAATGAAATCCCTGAGTTTTACTGAAGCTGTTCTAACTTTCTGGGACCATACATGGCAGGTGTCAGAGGTCAACATTTATTCAAGTTTATGTAAGCAACATGAAATGACTAAAGAAGGCACAAACCACAAGTTCTTAAAGATGTTCATAAAGTTTTCTATAATTGACACCTGTGTGTTTTTCTCTCCCCACCAAGGCTTTGGTTAAAACAGCAACCCTCTCTAGTTCATAAAACACTTTGGAGAGTTTTCTTGTGACAGTACCTATTATCTGCATTGTCCCACCAAACTGCATCCAATGCTTGATGTCCGTAGCTTAAGAAGTAGAGTGTATGCTTTATTAGTTGTGAGGCACTGGGAAAAAAAAATGTTGAAACATCATGCAAGTGGTTAAAAGGATGTGTTTGTTTAGACACTTAACCTGGGAAAAATCTTACATAATTTTTAACTAATTTTATTTGTTCAGAAGAGGAAGTGAGAATTTAGAAAAATATAGGGCTTTATTGGCTCAAGTTTTCAAGATCACCCAGGCAGACAGACAGACAGAAAGACACACACACACACACTCAGTGCCCATTGTTATTTTTGTATGAATGCATTTAATCATTATGTACGATCCCTCAAGTACCATTTTCTTTATGATTCTGTACCACTCCTTGATGCTGTCTGCATATGTACACGGTAGTGGAATTGTGATTAAGAACCTTAACCAGAGTCTAGCAGGAAGACATGTGTGAAAGATGAACATCATGTGTGACCATTGTGCATGCTAGTAAAGACAAAGCTCAAAGGAAACAGTGAAGAGCTAGAACTTGGCAAAGAGATGATTTATGATCTGAAACAAAAGACATTGTAGTCTCATTAAGTAAACAGTATTTGCTGTAGCAAACTCCTAGGTTCTTTGCTGTGGAAACACCAGACCCCTATCCCCTTCCTCCTGTGGATTCTATACTGCACACCTCCTAAATTATTAAAGAATGTTCTCTTACCTGACTATTTTGGGTGACCATGATGTAGGCTGTAAAATTGCCTCTGTGTTAACAGAACAGCAAGACACTGAGCTACTTGGCTCCCTGAGTAGCGTTCACAAGCAGAAGAAAATTCACTTAGATCCATACCTACACTTCTGCTTACTGACAAATACCAAAACTAAAGGGCACAGCCTAGAAATCACACAGCTTTGTAGTCACAAGTGTGAACTATGCTCCAAACCACTCTTTTAATAACATGTTCTAATGTGCCTAAGATTTTCTAATAATATGATTCTCATAATATGATTTCTAATAATATGATTTATTCTGTTTTATTATGGAAGTATGCTTGGAAATCACCACTGCCCTTAAAGTAGGTTGCCCTCTAAAATTTTATTGATATCAGTTGTTTGAATTTGCACATTGTTTTCCCCAGAAATAAGAGCTTGTGAAGCCATACATGCAGTTTTAGTAAAGTTATTTCTAAATACGGGACCAGAAAAGGGGTCATATGTATCTGACCTTGTAAGGGAAGAAATACCCTTTGTATATTTGTTCAGGTAACTGTTTTGTCTTGAGTAGTCAAGTTTTATTCCCATGTATCATCCTTGATAATTGCATGTATCTCTGTGTCCAATATTCTCATATTATTATGGACCTTAGGAGGAACTTGACAGGTTTTGGGATTGCCATACCTCCTAAAATGTTTGTGTTCTAAGCTATATAATTGTTTTATCCCTCTGGAGTCTGGAGGATTGCTTTTGTGCTGTTCTATGAATATGTGGTACAGGAACTGTTTTGTAGGATGAGACACTTCTTGTTGGCTTTGAATTAGTGAGGGCATAGTACATACAGTACAGACAAAGAAAGGTTTACCATTGTGTGCTGACCCAGACACACCCCACACTCTGGCCTGGTTTATAATTTGAAGTAGTTTTTTCTGCCTCTTTCAGGGATTTACCTGTAATTGAACTATAGGAGGTAAGCCACATAATACAGAGTAATTAAAACAATACAGATAAGGTGGTAAGGCAGGCTAAGCATGGTGGTTCACACCTTTAACCCCACTACTCAAGTGGTTCAAGGCTAACCTCATTACAGACCAGCGAGAGCTACAGAATGAGACCCTGTCTCCAAAACAAACAAACAAACAAACATGACACATTAAAGTTATTAAAGGAATGTTGTAGACAGTGACAAGCAAGCAAATGGATTGGGACTTCAGGCAACACCTGAGAGGTTGTTGCTATGGTGACCCATCCCCAGGTAGCTCACCAGGCTAGTGCAGCTAGCGCCCCCTTGTCTTTCTCCATTACCTGATTTCAGTCCTTCAGTGTCTGTTTCTGACCATTGGCCCATGCTCTAGTACTAATTCATGGGGTCTCTGGTTTGGGATTTTGGCCTAGATTAGGCTGGACAGGTGGGTCAGAGGATAAGGGTCTTTGTCACACAGGCTTAATGACTTGAGTTAAACTCTAGATCCCACATAACTACAGAAGGTTGTCCTCTGCCCGCCACTCATGTGCCCATAGTGCATTGGTCATGTACCCCAGCATGGACATGACTTTTGTTGACTCGATATTCCTTTCTAGCACACAAACCAGTTGTGTCATGTGAAGTTCATACAGCACTTGTTGGTGGTCCTTATTGAAATGGGTTGTCTCAGTGTCTATGAATGAAAAATGTGTCCTAGTATTTATTATTGTTGTTAACTATCATAGTTATTTTAGGAAGGGCTTCTTTTTTAAAATTTTAAATACTTTTTCTTATTTTACATATCGATCCCACTTCCCTCTACCTCCCACGTCCCCCACAGACTTCCCCATCCCATCCCCCATCCACTCCCCAGGGAGGGTGAGGTCTTCAATGAGGAATCATCAAAGTCTGTCAAATCATTTGGGGTAGAGCCTAGGCCGTCCTCTGTGTCTCTAGGCTAAGAGAGTATCCCTCCATGGGGAATGGGCTGATGGAGTTCCTACACTGCGGATACGTCCTGGTTCCATTGTCAGGCACCATGGACTGCCCAGTCCTCCTAACTAACACCCACATTCAGGGGGTCTGGGTTGGTCCTATGCTGGTTTCCCAGCTGTCAGTCTGGGGTCCATGAGCTCCCCCTTTTTCAGGTCAGCTGTCTCTGTGGGTTTCTCCAGCCTGGTCTTGATCCCTTTGCGCATCACTCCTCTCTCTCCACAACTGGATTCCAGGAGTTCGGCTTAGTGTTCAGTTGTGGGTGTCTGCTTAGGAAGAGCTTCTTATATAAAGTAGTTTTATGACAATGATTCTGACAATAATTAATATGTGTAAATTAAGAATGGGACACTAAGGCTGGTGTAAGGTTGTCTTACTTCTGTACACTTGTGATATTTCTTCATTTATTAGATGTTTAGATATTAATATAACTGACAAGTGTTCGTGAAGTCAACTAAATTTGTCATTTTTATTTGAAATTACCCAACAAAAGACATTGACTTATATTTATACTAGATTATAGGGAAAATGACTTTTAAAGATAATTTTAAGATGTCTAATAAGGATGATGGGTCCAGATAAAGATGCAAAAAAAAAAAAAAAAAAACTCGAAGTAACCTTTAGAATGAGAATTAAGAATAAATTAGTTAATTAAGAATAAATACATGGATTCCTGACATCTCTTGATTCTAATGAATCATGTCTCTTGAAGATGTCTTGTAGAAATGATCTGTTTAATACATGAGTTAAGCCTTGACATCTGTTTTGATTTCCTTTACTTTTAGGGTTCAGCAGAGCAGCCTTACCATTCGGGTTAGTCAGAAGAGAACTGTCCTGTGAAGGGTATTCTATAGACCTTCGATGTCCAGGCAGCGATGTCATCATGATTGAGAGTGCCAACTATGGTCGGACAGACGACAAGATCTGTGATGCGGACCCCTTTCAGATGGAGAACACAGACTGCTACCTCCCTGATGCCTTCAAAATCATGACTCAGAGGTAGATATGTGTGTACACATGCCTTGTTTTAGCAGTTAAAGTTAGTGTCTTTCCAAAGTGAACAGATTCTGCCTATAGCCAAGCTTGTGAATGAAACTGTTAGATTTTTACTCACTAATATTAATATCCACATTATATTATTTTTCTGCAATGTTTAAATCTGCATACCACCTTAATATAAAAGGCAGAATGTATAGGATTCTAGAAAACAAACGTTTATTTCATATACCTTAAAATAAAAAGGAAGATTTCAAATGTAAGTGTGTTTCTCAGGACTCCAGAAATTTGAAGTACTTTTCTGTACTCACAAAGAATGCTTTTATATCTGGAACTTTGTCAGTAATTGTTCGTTATCCATATTTTGTTTGCAATGAGTTTTTAAAGTAGTTTATTTTCACATCAAATTGAATGGAAATGTTTCCATGTAACCCCGCTCTGTGAGTGCGTATGTTAGTGTGTGCCTGTAGATTTTGGTGTGGACTTGTGTTTTCAGCTTATGTTGATAAACACCCAGGAGTGCAACTATTGGGGTGTATACTAAAAGTCCATGCACATTTTTAAGAAAACTCTATTTGGGTTTGGTGTTGCTTACCTATAAATCCTGGCACTTAGCAGGCTGAGGCTGGAGTTTTAGGCCATTCTGTACTTCATGGAGAAATCCTGGCCCCTGCCAAACTTCTTCTCACCTACCTCTCTAACGGTGTGGGGAGTGAGGGGCTGGGGGTTGGGAACTCTACAAACTGTCTTCCAAAGCAGCTGCTTTGTGGTATTCCTTCTTTACAACCAAAGAACGGGCAGGATTGTTGCCCCACACGTTCCTTAGCATTTAGTGTTGGCGGTGTTTGAATGTTGGTCATCTCATAGGCATCTTCTTGTTTCTGTTTGTAACTCCTTAATGATGCACAATGTGGAACTTCTTCCCATGTGCTTATTGCTTTCCCTGTGTGTTCCCTGAGATAGCATCTATTAGTTCTTAGGCACCCCCCTACCCCCACACAACTAAGGCTTCATGTTTAGTTTTAAGAATTCTTTGTACGTTTAAAATGGAAACTACTTTCCCAGTTATGTCATTTGTAAATGTTTTCAACATGTAGCTGGCTTTTGTTCTGTGCTCTTGGTCCTTAATCTTAAAAGCCACACAGAACAAAAAGGACAGATGCAAGTTCAGAAGCATCTGTGGTCCTGCGTGTTCTCATGGGATTGGAGATTAAATCCTTCCAAACAGCTAAGTGACCTGTGATGTGTGTGAACAGCTTTACCTTTAGCCACAGCCGCAGGGAAGGTTATGGGTTTGGGGCATTGCTGCCCATGTATCAGATGGGCTGAAAATGAGATGCAATGTATATTTCTGAATGAGAGCATCTGCCCTCGTTAACATAATCTGATGCGAGTCTGTAATTCAAGCAAATCTCCCCCCTCATTACTTCATGCATTGCTCGAGATGATTCTGAGGATAAGGTGAAAAGCAGAAAAATATTTTCTTTGCAATTTGTAATTGAGTAAATAACTTTTGTTCACAATTTGGAAAACTGAAGTTCAAGGCCATATAAAGTGGGATGGCAATTAGTGTTCAATGCACTATTATTTGTGTTAAGTGTGCACATCATAGATTGGTCTTCTACTGTATGTAAAGAATTGTAATTAAGTCTGCAGGAGTATAAAAGAGGCATTCACACAGATGTCACAGAATACCTGAATACCTGGGTTGAAGTGTAATCTGACAACATCTGCCTCATTGAATTTGAGCATTGTTAATTCTCTGCGCCCCCCTCCCCCAACTAAGTCCCAGTTGATTAATGACACCAAGTAGATAGATGCTCTTCAACGTAGCATGGTCATGCTCCCCAATAAATTTCTAACTCAGATACATAGCTCGATAGGAACTGAGGTATGCTGCTGTTCATTGTGAGCGAGTGTCTGCATATCTCTAGTCAAGGAAGAGATCAAAATTCGAGTTTTTCAAACGTGTTTGCTTTTGCAACATGGTGAGGTTGAAGAAAACCCTTACCTGAGTATTGTGAGTTCAGGTGAGCCTGCATTAGACACAAGGCACCCATCATTGTAAGTCTAGGTGAGCCCACATTAGACACAAGATGCCAGCATTTTAAGTCAGGGTGAGCCTACATTAGAGACAAGGCACCCAGCTCTTGGCATTGTGTATTTAAAACTTTGGTATTTGTGGCAGCTCAGTGAACATGGCTATATGTATATACACACAGTTGTTTGTTGCCATTGCAACCAACTGATTCGGCAGTAGCTCAGTTCCAGCACTGTTTTGTCCAGAGGTCTCCATTATTTAGACAGTAGTAAGTGTACTAAATGGACACCCAAGGGTCATACAATTTAGCATCATTATTACTTTTAAGTCTCGTTGGAGGAAAACCCTTGGTCTTTCCAGTCGTTGCTTCCCCCACTCTCTCCTGCTTCCCTTCCCTTCACAATATCATCGTGAAACTTCTGACTTCGTTAACAGATCACTCAGGAGAACAACAAGCTTTCTGTGTTGGGGTGGTAAGGACAAACACAATGGAAACATGTGATGTGACGGTATGAAAAGGACATGGGGGATGAAGGGGAGAGACGCAAAACCTGCTCCTTGATTGTCCATATCCTAAGAATATGTATTCTTAATAGGACGGATCGGGATGGAATGTATTGGGGTATATCTATTATCAGCAATTATAGGTAGATTTTCAAATGTAGAAACTGGCTAGCTAGATCTCTTTGAGGCACCATAGAACATCACAAAAGTCTTAAGAATTCCATCAGAATGGTCTAATTTTCAGTTCTTAATGAATTAGTATCAGGGATGTGAGACACCATCTTGGTTGTGTAAATTGTGTTTGATAAAGATACTTTTGTTTAAAGCCCATTTCCCAGATGAGGTGTGTAATATTAGAAGTCTAGCCCTTGAGAGGGCTACTGTTTAGTGTTCTACTTCATTTGGTAAAATGGGATCTCCTACTTGAGTATCCATAAGAGAAAATCTGGACCGTAACATAGGGATGCCACCATGCTACTACAAACAGATCCTGCTAACACATGGAACTTCTTTATGACAAGAGTTGCAGGTAAAGCATACTTCTGTTGAAACACGCCATGAGCTTACCCCCTGGCTATGTCCAAGGGACATGGATTCTGTGTATTTACTTCTGTCTTAGCTCCCCAGTAATTTGCTGTGTATAATAGGCAAGCCTTCCATACCCATAAAAATAATATGAGCATCCTCGCTTCCAATTCTTCCAGCTGAGAGACCCTAAACCCAGAGCACATTTCGCATATGTTGTTTCAGGTTTGGGGAGCTGTCTGTGCCCTGTGTATATTATGACACATTAGTAAGTAATCATTTCTCCATTCCTCTTGTTGGTCCATTTGTTCAGTGACAGTCATATGAAGTGAGACTCAGGAAGCAGGCCAGGGAGGAACAGAAACTGAAGAACTTATGGGTGACTACCTGTTTTCACAGAGCTAATAAAGCAGCAAAAGGTGGTTGGGAGTTAGTGCAAAGAGTATGTGGCAGGTCTGACTTAGGGGGTTGGTAATGCTCCTGCTCCTTGCTTACCAGATATGTGAATGTGTACACACACTTAGTACACAGCATATATCCACCACGTGTCAAGCTTACTGTTCTTGCGCTGGTGAACTTAACTACAGATGTAAAAAGCATACAAGATAAAACTTGAACTTATTTCCATTGGTCCTCACTGAAAGGGGACTTCCTTTCTGTTTGCTGCAGTACTTTAAATGGACTTAGAGATTGAGAAGATTTAAATTTGGGAAATGGATGTTGTTGACCTGTCTACCACCATCATCTTCAAATGATGTATGGGGTATTAGCAGAAATAGAGGAATAATTCCAAAAAGCTGCTAAAGTCCCATTTTTTATACTGTAGTGTTCTTGTGGTTTATAATTATTTAATCAGGAGAATGACAATTTGAACATAAACACTATATTGAAAAAGGGAAGACAAGATTGAGGTGATTTCAAAAACATTTTCATAGCAGGAGCTTGTAAGTACCCAATTCATTGTATGTCAGTATGTGAATCATAAGGGAATCTGTCATATTTGACTGGTGTAGTGGAAAGTACCATAAGAAAACCAAGGAAATAGTGTTTTTGCAGCTGGATTCTCAGCGAGTGATTATTTTGCACATAGAAACAGTTGAGTCTGAAAACACAAAGCCTCGAGTAGTTTACTGAATTTTTCCATCTATAAGCTCTCAAAAAACGAGACGTTGAATAGTGTACCATTTTTATTTCTTTAACACAGAAAGCTTCTTTTTGGAAAGCTCAAATAGAAACACTAGAAATTCTTCCTTGAGTTGCAAAGCTACCTTTTTGCGTACGGTGAGGGACCCCGATATTTCTCAGCTACTGTTGTGTTTGTTTTGCATGCCAGCCTTTGCATTCTTGCCTTATGCTGTTACCACCTCATCAGTTAAGAGTCAGGGAACTGGGTTTCCATTCCAGATCATGAACATGAAATTACTGTTACTCTGTTTTCTGTTTTCCCAGTCATTTAAAAGAGTGAACAGTACCTGTATTAATAACTACAAGTAATGTCCACTTTGTATGATTATCTTTAAAATACTCTTAGTAGTTCATCCTAAAAAGGTTGAATTAAATTCCTCTGTCGAGAAGATTTATTTATACTTGAATAGATTATTGAACAGTCACCATTGCAGATAATGGTGATTCTTTTAACAGTCTTTGAAAATAATTCTGGGGACAGATTCACATCAAACAGTTACAACTCTTTCAAGTCAGGAACATAAAGATTTCTGCTCTACTCTAAAGTTTTGGTCAATAAGCAAATTACAGTTTTGCAGGAGGTTCTGAATGTCTACCATAGTTGGGTGTGGCCTGCTCAGCATCCTAAACCTGAATGTGCAGCATTGTCTGTGTGTGCTGGTGCAGCTGGTAGGAAGACTGTGCTGTGTTCTCTCTCTACTGCCTGGCAGAGCGATTGTCAGGTATCCTCTGTTGGAGAACTGCTAGG